CTTCCTGCATTGTCGGCCAGTAGTATCCAGCCCACAGGGCCTTCCTCGCCAAGGATTGTCCTCCGAGGTGTTGCGCGTTGAGGCCTGGTTTTTGTCGATGCATTTGAGGAGAGGGATCGAGAGGCCTCTTTGGTACATCCTGTTCTCGAGTAGCACGTACGAGCAGGATCGACATTTGACCGTGCTGGCCTCCTTAGCATCGTCGGGGAGGCGCCCCGTGCTAAGGTGAGTGTGTATCAGGGTCGCCCAACAGTCGGCGTCCCCGATGACGTTAACGTCGAGCAGTGTTTTCGCCCTCTCCGTACATGGTTGTGCGAGGATCTCCTGGATGACAGATTTGTTCCCGCCTTTCTTCTTGGTGCTTGCCAACTTTGAGAGGACGTCTGCTCGCGTGTTCTGCTCTCGGGGAACGGCGTTGCAATCTCAGAGAAGGCATGACATTTATCTGAGTTTGCTTCGATCCCCCGTTCTGTCAGGTAAAATCCGAAGAACTTCCCTGCGCGTACCCCAAAGGTGCACTTCTCCGGGTTGAACCGGATCTTGTACTTCCTCGTTGTCTGAAGACTTTCTTGAGGTGGCCGTGTGGTCGACCTCCGTGCGTGATTTGACGATCATATCGTCCATGTAGACCTCGAGCATGTCGCCTATCTCTCCTCAGAAGACTTTGTTCATCATTCGTTGGTAGGTGGAACCGGTGTTCCTTTAAGTAGTAGTTGCCCGACTCGGTCATGAATGTCGTGCTCTACTTGGCGTCGGCGTTCCTTTAAGTAGTAGGCGTCCTTTGGACATGCCCGGTTGAGATCGGTGTAATCAACTCACATCCTCCATTTTCCATTAGATTTCTTTACAAGTACAACGTTGGACAGCCAGGTTGAATACCGAGCTTCCGAAATAAAATTTTTCTCTAAGAGGTCTTTTACAGCTTTTTCAGTCGCCGCCGATTTTTCAGGGGACTGTCTACGTCTACATTATACTATGGCTTTCGCGGCCGGGTTGATGGAGAGTTGGTGGCAGGTGACCTCGGGGTCAAGGTCGGGCATCTCGGCAACGCTCCAGGCGAAGAGGTCGGCGTTCTCCTAGAGGCAAGCCTTCACCTGCTTCCTCGCCAGGTCGGGCAGACCAGCTCCAATCTTCACGGTCCTCATCGTGTTTGTACGGAGGGCTACTATCTCGAAGTCCCTGTCTGGAATGAGGCGCGTTGGGTGGATAGGCTTCCCGTTGATCGTTGGAGGAGTGTCTTCAGAATTGTCTTCATGATCTGGCTCGCTGGGGAAACGAAAGTCGAGGTCTACAGCGTCGACGTGGTCCTTCGGCCTGTTCTCATGGAGGGGTGGAGGCTTGGTTGCTTTGGTCGGCGGACCTATCATGCCGAGGCCCTTCATTGCTGCATCAAAACATCGACGCGCTGCTTTTATGTCCCCGTTGAGGGTGACGACGTCTCCCAACCTGGTATAGTACTTTATCTTCAGGTGGATGGTTGATGGTACCATGGTGAGCTTGGCCAGCATTGTTCTGCCAAGGATGCAGTTGTATAAGAACGAGCACTTGACGACCAGGAAGCGGACGTTGATTTCCCTGACCGTTTCCTGTGCCCCAAAGGTGACCTTGAGCTCCACGTAACCCCATGACCTTGTCGTCGTCCCGTTGAACCCCTGGAGGTCGGAGCCAAGGTAGGGAGTTAGGTTGGTCTCGTCGAGCTGTAGCATCGAGAAGAGGTGGGTATACATGATACCCACCGAGCTTCCTCCGTCGACCAAGATGCGGCGGACATCGAAATTGACCATTTGTGCCTGTATCAGTAGGGGAATGGCCGAGTTGAGGGCTCCCTCGGGGAGCTCTTCGAGATAATATGTGATTGGGTTGGATCGACCACGGAATTTGTCGAGTGTGCTCATTTTACCGGAGTTGTTGTTCATCAGTTCATCAAACTTCCTTTTTACCGACCCAATCGAGAGCTTGCTCGGGGTCCCGCCCGAGATGACCATTGCCTTGGGAAATTATTCCCACAGGCTGATTGGGTGCACTCGTTCCTCGGGTAGATCATGCCCGGCAGGGAGGTCGTGTTCTCTCAGTGAGAACCAGTCTTCAGGGCGATCAACGCAGAGGGTCACCTGTAGCCCAGATTCGTTGGTAGGAGGGGGGATGTCCTCGACTCTCTTGGCTTTCTGGGCCTCTTGTAGGGGGCATCTCCTCCCCTGGTGTATCTCTTCAAGTGTCCGTCCTTGATGAGTATTTCGATTGCGTCCTTCAGGTGGATGCAGTCCTCCGTAACGTGCCCATGTCCCTGGTGGAAGCGGCACTATTTGGACTTGTCCATGTTGGCTTTGGGGGGTTCCGGTTTAGGAAAGTGGACACCTCCCTGGACGAACTCCGAGTTGGCACACTTGGCCAGTATACGCTCGCGGGAAGCGACCAGGGCAGTGTATTCGGTGAAGCGGCCAGCAGGGCCCCTCTGCTCCCGGGGTTCTCGGGGATGATCCTCCCGTCGTCGGTCTCCCCCACGCCGGAGGGCTGAAGCTCCTTCTTCTCGGGATTCGCAGGGGGTTTCGCGGTTGCGGGATTCTCGGGCAGCATTGGCGGCCTCGGTTTCCTTGTACCGGATGTAATGGCGAGCTTTCTCAAGGAAGGCTTGTAAGGTGTTAGGTGTTTGGCCAGTGGGATTGCCACGGCCTCGTAGAACTTGGAGCCGTGGCGCAGGCCTTGCTCCATAAGGTAGCGCTTCGTCACCTAGACCGCCTCCCTCGTAAACCTCTCAATGTAGTTTCTGAGAGGCTCATCCGAGGCCTGAATGATTGCGCTTAGGGCGACCTTCATCTTTGGATGCCGTCGCGATGTCGTGAAATACTTTGAAAACAAATCCTTCAAGACCCTCCAAGATTTGACGGACTCAGGTTCCAGGCTTTTGTACCAAGCCATGGCCCCTTTTATCAACGTCGTCGGGAAGAGCCTGCACTTGATGGCTCCTCGGACGTTCCTGTAGTCGAGCATGGCCTCGATGTCCTCTAGATGATGGTCTGGATCCGAGGTACTTGATAAGAGAGATCGTTGGACTGCCACGCGTCTGAGTTGTCGAACTGTTGACTTGATGGACAGAGGGGGGTTGTACCTGAAACACACTCCGATGCCAAAGTAAGCGACGAGCAGAGTGATAACAAGTACAAAGAGAAGAGTGAGAAAATTAGGTTACCTGACCCTCTAGTGGAAGAAGGTATTTATAATGAGCCTCCAGCGTAGGGCCAACGGTTACCACACGTTGGGCTAGACCGCCAGGCCCAACGTTGGTAACTGTTAGGGCTGACATGGCGTCGTAAAGACCAGCACGTGGTCTTCACCCTAATGTAATCGTTTCGTGCTATCTGGGAGGTGGAGGACCGAATCATTAGGACACGAATGGTTACTTGATGATGTGTCTTCGCGTAAGGGACACGTAGAGAATGTGGGTGAGGTTTGAGGAGCTTCCTGGGCTGGATGGGCTCTGCCCGACTGTGGGGGAGAAGGAGGCTAGCCGGGTAGCTACGAAGGTCCTGCCCGGCGGCCGTTGGCCTATGCCCGACAGGAGAAGATGTTCTGCCCAACGGATCTTCTGCTCGTCGATGAGATCTTATTGGGCCTTCCAACCCATTGGGTTTTGGGTCTGCCTTACTGTGGGCCAAGCGCCGACCCAGTTCAGAACATTAACTATTTTATGTTACTTTTTCACAAGTTGTAATTAGAACCATTCAGCAATACCATCTTCATGTTTGTAGTTGACTGTATTATTTAAACAAGTAAAATAACTGTTAACCAAGAGTTCGGTTACCACTCTGATAGGAAATTAACGTACAATAACAGACCAATACGCGGCAGAAATAAAATTACCCAAACTTGTAACAACCTATGAGAATCAACAAGAAATATATAGCAACAAATAGAACAAATAATGATACAAGAGAACACTGATATTTTAAAATAAAATATCTTCAATATGAGAGTGAAAAAATCATAAATCCCCAGGACTAATGAAACAACTCAACTATAATTAAATAAGGGTAAAAGAGAGTCTCAGTGTAATGCATAAACTAATGCTAACAACAGTTATACTAGAAAAAAAATACTAACTTACAAATAAGAAATACCTAAAACTACAGCTTCAGACTTCATTTTGAAGATCCGAACGGTCAAAAAATAAACACAGTTGTTGTAAATCTGCCCTGCAAAAATATACTTAATCCCGAATTCGAAATTGCTATTTTACTAAGGCTGATGGTTTCTCTTTTTTTTTTTTTTTTTTCTAAATTGATTTTCTATTTTCTTTCTCTCTCAACTTTAGAATGAGTCTCTCCTATTATAATAAATAAGACACAAATGAACTAACATTTTTAAGACTTTTTCACATAAAAAGGGAGATCAAAACCAACCACATGTTAATATCAAAAAGCTTAAATTAATTTACCTTATTTTGACGTGCAAGCAAACCTTTTTATTATAATATTCTTATGCACGCGGGTGACTAGTTGATGAATTGAAAACTAAAAAAAAATGTAATGAAATTTCTCACCAAAATTATCCACATCACTGTATACCAAAATGACAACACCTATATAATGTGTATTTTTGTGTGCAAGATTATGACACATTTATATTAATAAGGATTCTTGCACTTGTTTGTTTTTAGGTTTCTTGCATTGCAAGAAATTTAAGCTTTTGCGAGGAGTTTTACCTTGACTTAAATCCCTGGCAATAAGTTTTCTTTTTTATAGTGTAAACTAAATAACTTACTAGAAAATTTTAATGAAATACATAACTAGAAGATAAATACAGTAAATCAAACACTTTGACTCTACAGTTTGCAAAAAAGCAAACTACATGGCGAAGCGGTACCTTTTATTCCATTGATTACAGTATTTATTCATTTCCATACACAAAAAACAAAGTCTAAGGGACTTAGTCTCATGAGACGCATATGCATGTGGTACATAGTATATACTGAAACTTAATATATAGCTTCCACCTTTAGACTACTAGTTACATGGTTCATAGCAGAAGTCAGTGATATCAGCGCAATGACACTGTGGAGGAATTGACTTTGTACAATAGCAACTTTTGCAAGCTGAGTGACATGTTTCTCCAATATCAGTACAGCGACACTGAGGAGGGATTGATTTTGTGCAAGGGCAGGAATCACAGCATGCTGTTGTTGTTGATTTAACATCATTGGATTTGGACAGAACTTGAGTTATGAAGGATGTTCTGTCGAAGTGAGCATCGACAGTCGCGGTGAAGCCTACGAGGAAAAGCATGAAAGCTACCTTCATCATTGTTGCCTTCTTGATCAACTCCATTATTACTTTCTTTCTGTTATGATATAGGTATTTTTCTTTGCCTTGTGAAGAGGTAAAGAGATACATGGATTTATTTATAGAGTGCAACCAAGGGTTATATAGGTCTTTTTCTTCTGTCTTTTATTATTTATTTAATGTGCATTCTTCACATGCATTTGATTTTTTAATTTAGTGATGTTTAGAGACGTAATTATCAAGGCTGAAAATGATAAGTTGCATTTAGTCTAATGAAAAAGTCGTAAATTGCATTTTATTATACAACAAATTGAAGAACAACGCCTTGTTAATGTGCTAGTTTTTTTCCTTGCTGTTTTCTTGTGTGGCTAGTTTTCGTTATCGTTATCCTTTTCTTTTTCTTTTTGTTGAATTAATTCAGGTTGAGTAACTCAAATGAAGGAGAACCTCATAGCATTTATGTGACTTAGAGGTGTTGAAGGAAATTTTATATTAAACTGTAGTAAAATCTAAAATGTTAGTATGAGATAAAATATTTGACGAATAAAAATCAAGAAAAAGTGTAACAGAAATCAGAGTATAGTTGAACTACGATTATTCTGACTTTTTATATAAGATATGTAGGTATAGATAGGATTGCGAGATCCTGACGAACTATCTTTTTATTTTTCTACTTTTTTTTCTTTCTCCTTTTTCACAAAAACAATAAAAAATATTTATTTTCTCATCTCTTCAATCAATATCAATTAGCAAACAAACTTATAACACAAATTCAAAAAGAAGTTCTTATAGAGTACTATAGATACTTAGGCTGCTAATACCTTTTCTTAGTATAATCAACCACAGAACCTTAGATCTCTTTATTGTTTTGTCTTTGCATTGCATGTTTATGAGTTATTCTTTCTTTACCCCTTCTCTTGGATAAATTAAAGATCGGTGATGATATCTTAAGATTTGTGAAGTCTAGTTAACTCAATAGCTATGGTCTCCGATTCTCACCGCGACATTAGAATCGATTGTTTTGTCAAATCAATCCGCTTTTGTGCCTAATAGACATCTATTAGATGGAGTTCTTGTGGCTAGTGAACTAGTGGGCTTCACTACGAAATAAAATAAACAGGGCATTCTTTTCAAGGTAGATTTCGAGAAAGCATATGATAAATTGAGTTGGGATTTTCTTCGGTTTATGCTAAAAACTTTGGGTTTTGGTGCTATTTGGTTGAAACGGATGGAAGCTCTTGTGTTCACAAGCCATATGTTGGTGTTGGTTAACGGTAGTATTGGAAAATAAGTGTGAGTTGTATGGAGAAACAAGTGTGAGTTTTAAGTCTCACATTGCTTAGAAAAGTGGAGGTTAAACACTTTATAAGTAAGAGGACCCATACATTTATCACCTTAAGATTTTGGGTGAATATGTGGTGTCTCTCTCACTTGTTTGGGTGAGTCTTTGATCTAATGTGAAAGTTTTTCCCTCATGATGACCCATCAGTGGTATTAGAGCCTGGTTCGATTAAGGGTCCGACTCTTTGTGTCGAAAGTCTTCCTGACTGTCGTACCTCAAAAAATACGACCCTCGCGCAAAAGGCTTGGAAAACGGTTCGACAGAGTCGCCATAGAGCTTTATTTATCCCAAAAGAGGGAAAGGAAAATATCGATAAAACCTTTAAAGAGATAAGAACATGGTCGTCGCAACCACATTCTGGGTTCGAGAGTCGGTTATGTAAATGGAAGTTATTAGCACCCCTCACATCCGTTGTACTCAATAGGAACCTCTTAATTCGAATTATGATGAACTTTAGTTAAACTTATTTATTTTCTTCTCAATGATAGATGTGAAACAGTAAGATAAACGGAATAAATGCTTAGGGAAAACAGGTGGTTTTAAGATAGGGTGCTCGCCAAGGATTGGGGCCATTTGCCTGCGTATTCTCATTCGGACGAGAATGAGAAATCAAAGTACTCGTAGTTCGACTACGGGTAAAGGTGGAAAAAAGAAAACGTAGGCGCGGAATGACGGGAAAGATGGAAGTGAGAAAAAGGCAGAAAAAGAAAGAGGTTAGGAAATGGAAGATGGAGGGAAGGTAGCTCGCCAAGATCATCGCAATCTTCTGCCTACGTATCTTACATTCAAATGAATGAAGAATCAGAGTGTTTGTAGTTCATGGATACGACCACGAAAAGAAAGGGGTTAATATGTTGAAGTTTGGTTTTGATGACAATTACTCAAAGCTTAAGAAAGGCTCCTCGGGCCCAAGTAATCGGAAGAGTGAGTCAAGGGCTTGACTCTCTCTCTTTTTCATCCAAGTGTTTTGAGAAATAGGTTTGATGGTTATCGAGTTGGAAGTGTTTTACAGGCGTCAATTGCTCACAAACGAGTAAGAGAACTCGCACCCAAACAACTGAAGAGAGATCAACGGCTCAATCCCCCTCTTTTTCACGTTGAAAAGAGTTTTGGTAATTGTTAATCGTTTTGAAGTTTGATTATGAAAATCCACTTGATGTTGGATCAAGGGTTTGATTGTTTTCTCAAAGAAGTTGATTGCAAGGAAAAAGGCACCCGACAAGGTTATTTTGAAAATGGCTCGACGATGAATCGAGAGTTTGGTTGAAAAGAGGTGTGAATTGATCCTAGTCCATAGGGGTGCTCCTAATAACGAAACCACGATGAAAGGTGTAAGTGTGTGTGTTAGGTTGATGGCGAATGCTAAAGATCAATCGACTTATAAGGGTGTTTTGAAAATGGGCTCGACGAAAAATCGAGAATTAGTTTGAAAATGGTTTAGTCTATGCTAGTCCATAGGGGTACTCTCAGTAAACGAAACACAATCAAAGAAATGCAAGTAAAGTACGTACAACAGAATAGGAACGGGGTGCATGTAACTTACACATGATTGCACTAAATAAATTGGGTCATTGTAAGGTAGCCCAAGAGGAAGTCGTGTGTGTGCGAGGTGTTCTAAACTAAGCCACGGACAAGAATTTGGACAAAACCTCCATGCTAGGGTTTCTGTATACAGTCCAACCTCCGTTGCTCGGAAAAGTAACCAATAGTCCACCAATTGAATGTTTTGGTGTTTCGATATTTTTAATGTGTTTTCGAATAATATGAAAAAAGTAAGAATAAAATGAATATGATATGAATAATATAAATAATATGATATAAACAATAATATGAGCAAGATAATAATATGGACAAGAAGATAATAAGATGTATAATAATATGAACAAAATATATTGACGGAAAAATAAATCAAGAGTATATTGAGCAAAAATTAAAGTTAATGGTTAGTGATGAATCGTTAGTTGTCATTGTATCAGATGAATCGGGTCGACTATAGCACTAAACCATCGTAGCAAGATCTATGACGAAGATCGTGCTATAGGAGGTCGCGCAAACAACGATATTTGTGCTAAAATACGATAGAGAAATGATATTGTGAATGATTCTCTTAAGAAATCGTGTCACACGAAAAGAAAAGTGGATGATCTCGTCTTAATCACAAACTTGCGTTGATTAATCAAAGGTAACCTATCATGATCCCAAAGTATAGAAAATGATCTCGATGATCATTTTCTACATATTTGAAATCATGAAGGTTAAACAACCTTAATCAACCAACATTCGTAATATTAAAGACTTTCATTGACCAAGATAACAGCGAAACAAAACTAAAATCCAAAACAAAATAGACAAAATGAAAATAGCAAAAAGTCATAAAATAATCACAATATTACAAAACAAGTATTTTCTTCTTTAGATAAAATCAAAAAGGAATTAATTAAAAAACAGAAAAGAAAAAAAAACAATTTTAAATCAAAACAAGAGATAAGGGGCGCACATAGGGGTGTGATGTAACACCCTTCTAAACCCCGCAAATAATATATGCATAATCAGAGTAAAAGTTAACATGCATCCATAAAAGGGCATCACACAAAACTTGCACCACATTAAAACAATTTGTCATGCTCATAAACACCTTTCCATTTAGCAGCGGATTCATTAATGAAAATCCTTTAAAAGAAACATTTACTTTCATCATATAAAATCAACATCTCTAGGCACTAAGGACAATATCTCATTATCTCAATTACTCCAAATATGAAACATAACTTAGGTTACATAATGTAATCCTAAAACATAAGCAATCGATCCCCGTCTTACACGACCAGAGCATGACTCGACCCATAAATAATTACTAAACCGCTACACACGTAGCAACCTCGAACTACAAGTAGAACTTCATAAAGGCCTCCAGCAACCTAATCTGCAATGCCTCATAGAGCATTATAAAACAGCAGAAGGGTGAGAAATATTACCATAATAATCAAAGCATAAAATCATGTATACATAGGTATCATATAATTAACTCCCTATTTCTCACCACAATTCAACTCATAGTCATTTACATCGTCACTTATATATATATATACAACATGAATATTCACCAAGCATTTTACATCATGCATACATCCACAATTCCACAATCTTAACATTCACACGTAAGCATCTCTTCATGCACGCTTCATAAGTATTCAACAAACATCTCATTCACATGCATACTTCATATATCAATGACATTATACAATGTGACTCAACAACTCAATGCAACTCAATGCAATGCGGTACCGACTCTCGTTATCTTTTTTCGGTTTTTACATTAAACCGGGTCCACCCTTCTACACCGATAACTCGTTATCATTTTTCGGTTTTTACTTTAAACCGGGTCCACCCTTCTAGACCGATAACAACCAAGCCCGTCCCCTAGGCTTCAAACCCACCCTTCTAGGTTTGGGACAAGCCACTAGTTTCCACGAAACTAACAGACATTGCCTCTTGACTGAATGATGCATGTACAATCAACCAATCACAATAAATGCACTTAAGACCGTTCCCGCGTCTTAATCCCATGCATTCGAATAATTCACCCCTTCGAGAATTTCATCATGATTGCACATACAACATATATCAAACATTTATCAATGTATTCATTTCACACATCATCATCATCATCATACTCAACAACAATGCACACATACCACATATG